GTTTTTTATTTATAAATACTGATGTTGCACATGAATACATTTTATATATCTCTGTTTACTTTCTTTGCACGTTACTCATTCTCTTCAACATTTGACACTCGATCATTTACTGCTCTACTTCATTCTCCATCATTTACTGCTTTCTTCTGCTATCTCTGGATCCTTTTTTTTCTCTTTGTTTGCATTTGGTTGGTCGACATTTCACACTTAAGGAAGTGTTTATAGCGTTCCAGGTACTTTTAATGATCCTTGCCCGCAACTTCTCAATATTTGTTGTTGATGTTACATATATTGGTTTGCTTCCGTTCATAAATGATTTTATTATGTTATTAAATGGATGTTACTACTATATGTTGCTCAGAAAAATTTTATTCTGTTGTTAATAAGTGTTAGTAAACTACCTCTTTTCTTTCCACCCTTTTTTTTCCTGTTGTTGATTACTACATTTTGCTCATACATTAAGTCCCTATCTATTTATTTTTCAGCGATATATATATATATATATGTGTGTGTGTATGTGTGTCTTTGTTTCATATACTTATTTTTAACTACTTTTACTAAAATTTATTGGCTATATCTCTCTTCTTTTTTATTAGTTACTCTGACCTTTTTACCTTCTTCTAAATGAATATTTCGTTCAAAACTTATATATATATATACACACACACACACTTCCCTTTTTTCTGCAGATGAATTTTACCTTTTTATTCGGTAGACATATTTTACTTTTGTTCAGTATTTACTGTAGCAAGGACGATTTTGATCAATCTTGACATCATAAGTGTTATATAAGTTGTCCAAAAATTGTTGTGATTATATCTTCCTTATTTTGAATCTGCCTTTGCTCATTCTTCTTTATAAAAAATTTTTCCCGGTCTATTTCTCCCTCTCCTCTTTTTTTCCTTTTTTTCACATTTATTCTGGTCCTTTTGGTCTTTTGGTATTAGTATTTGATTGAAAACTTATTTATACATAGATTAGCTTTGTCTTTCTATTGTTGATGTCTTAGCTTTTACTATTCTATTTAACATTTACTATTCATATACTGGCTTTTCTTTTATGTCACTCGATTTTCACTTATTTTGGACATTTCATATTTCTCTATTTTGGTTGTTTCTTCAATTTGAATTTCTAACTTTTTCTTTCATTTTTTTTTCTTTTTTGCCCGCTTTCTTCTCTGTCTCCTGTGCAGGACTTTTGACTCTTTTCTTACTCTACAATATGATTGTAAGCTTTTGTTCTGAGTTTTTTATTTCTCAATTTTTTTTACAGTTGAGCCTTCTTGATCATTTTGATGGAAATGAAATGCTGACCTTTACTGCTTCCTTGATGTATTAACTTTTATTATTCTATCACACTTATTCATACACTAGCATTTCTTTTATGTTACTCAATTTTTGTTTATCTGCAGTTTTTATTTATTTTAGACTTTTGATATTTCTATATTTAGTATGCTTCCAAAAATTGAATTTCTGACTTTTTCTTTTATTTATTTATTTTTTTTTTTTTTACTCTTTTTCTTCGTTCTATCCTATGCTCGGGCCTTTGATTCTTTTCCTCCTCTACAATATAATTGTAAGCTTTCGTCCTCGGTTTTTTATTTCTAAATTTGTTTTGCAGTTGAGCCTTTTTGATCATTTTGATCGAAACATTAATCTTAACTGTTTCTCTCATGCTTTCATTACATCCATTTTGTTCTTCTTATTCGGTCAATTTCCACACTTTTTTATATGATAGATTTTGTTCTTCCTAATCGTTTGTCTTCATTATCATTTTTCTGCATTTTTTGTCTCCGATTTTCTGTTTTCTAAAATTTTATCTTGCAATTAAAAAAACAAGAGAAAGAAGCAAAACAACAACAATGTTTCATCATAAAAAAGTTTAAACAAAAATACTGTATATATATATCTATATCTATATATAAATATAGTTGTATATATATTTACAGCTACAGTACTGTATATATATGTATGTGAATATATATATATGTAAATTAATTTTGTACTATAAAACCCCTAAACTTTTTATATAATATAATGATATTTCCCACAGCAACGCGCGGGAAATAACTAGTACTAACTCTAGAAGAGTATAACCAATTTATATAGCGTGTCACGTGTCATTTCACTTAATATATTAATTTAATATTTATTTTGTTAATATGCCTTAAATTTGTGTCTCATTATACTCATTAAGCTTTAATATTTTCATGAAACCTAGCTACCATAATATTTTTTCTTTTTCTTACAACACTTTTTCGTCAAATTCAATAGTGGTCATGCTTTAGTTTACGTTAATGTACGGACATTTAACAAAACTCAAATATTGTTAGGGTCAAAATCGGCATCACAATCATCATCATACACGTGGATAGTATTTAGAGAGGAATCTCGACTGGAATTAACTTGAGACAAGATTGATCGAAATCAACTAGAGAAACCTGACGACAAAAAACTCACGGGACTGCCACAAATAAATCAGGAAAGGAGATTTCTTGGAGCCCACAAAGTCAAATTCAACAAATTTTACATTAAAGATAGAAATCATATCAATATTGAAGAGAAAAGATACTATGAAGCACGTAAAAAAACAAAGAATGAGAAAGTTAACTGAAAATAAAGGAAAACTGTTTAGCTCAAGAGAAAAGAAAATTAGAATGTCATTTCCTATAAATATGGGATGAAGATCACGAATTAAACATTTTAGATCCCTCTCATCACGTCATCCTCTCTCTAGATTCTCTCTCTAAATCCCCTCCTCCTCCCTAACCTGTTCTTATTTTCTGTTGTAATTGTACTTAATACGAATATAGTGAAACTTTAAGACCCTACAGTGGATGTGGCCTTCACATTGAAAGTGAATCACTATAAATTCATTTGTTCATTTATTTTTCTGCACTTTACGTTCTCGTTTTAACATTCAATCGACTCAGATCGACTCGTCAACACAACTGATATTCATGAACGGTCATTGACCTTCTAAATAAATTTAATTGTAGAATCTCACCTCGATCTACAAATAATCAATATTTTAAGAAAGAAATAAAAGTAAACAGCATTTTAAAAAATACAAAAGAGAAAAAAGTATAGGAGACAACACTTGCATCGAAAAATTAATTATTCGGAGAAAATATTCTAATAAACTAAATTGCTTATTTTATTGTTGTAGTCGTAGATCACGTAAGGTAAGCAAAGCCACTCATATTGAGGAATCAATTCGAAAGGACATTTTAACGCTAACTCGTGGTGTAGGATACACTAAAATAGGAGAGAAATCTGGTTTCTTTTAATTATTAGATAGAGAAAATTACAGATTCTATCTTTTTAAATTCTTAACTTATTAAAAGTATCTCTTTTAAAAAATTCTATCACTTGATTAGTTATAGTCTAAAAAATAGAAATATATAGCTCAATGTTAATGGATAGATATAAAAAGGGACTACATTTCAAAAACTGTTTTTAAAAAATTGCCCAAATTGAATATCATTTGAGGACTATAATATGGATGATTATTAACCTTATGAATTTTGTTCAGTTTTCAAGGCCTCAAAATCCTTATCCGTTTGATCCAATTGAATCACATAATGTCTTTTTTTATGTTGTTTTCTATCATTAAGTTCTCACATTTTATTGAAAAACAATAGGAAAAAAGTGCTAGGAAGTTGATTTGTGTTTTAAAAAAATAAAAATAAAAAAAGTAGTACATACTTCTTTTGCTCATTAATGTAGTACATGTTGTAGTAACTACGATAAGAGACGGCTCGTTCCAATATCATGTTGCGACCAACATCCCTCAATCACATCCTTTTATTGACCCCTTTATAATTCAAGGTTCGTTCAATTCGTCGATTTAAATTTTTAATTTAAATTTAGATGTTTAATTATAATAAAAAAAGTTATATGTGACTTTTTATAAGAGTTTTTAACTGTAGTAAAATTAAAATTAAAAACTCAAACCGGTAAAATAAACGAGGCATCAGTTGTGCACATAACACCATCCTAAATTTTTATATTGTTACACTAATGTCCCGTTATTATCTTTATCTTTACATTACATATTACATTATTATTACATACACTAAAGAGCCAAAAGGTTCTTCTTTTCTTTTGGCATGTCGCATTACAAGAAGGCTTCTCCTTTTGTTCATTCTTATATTATACTTTATATCAAATACTCTGTTTGCAACATCTCATTCTCTGTTTTGTTTTTTTTTTTTTCTATAAATTGAAAATATTAAGAATTAGCTAGATTATTATGCTTTATTATTTTATGATGGACGGTTCGTAAGTTTGTCTTGTAAATTTAAATACTTGCGTAATTAATTTATGGGTCTGTATGCTTTGTTGGAGTCTACATGCTTTATTATCAATTGTATGCTTACTTTTTGAGTTATGGACGTTTATGATTGAATTATTATATCAAAGTTTTGATTCTAATTGTGTGGAAGGATAGGTTGATATATATGAGTTTAAACCAATTAAAAAACCAAACCAAACCAAACCAGTTAATTGGTTCGGTTTGATTTGGTCTATTTTGGATTGAATTCTTTATGTTTTAGTTTGGTCTTGAGACTTTCCAAACCAAGTTGTACTTAAAATAAACAATTTGGTTTGATTGCACACCCCTAAGAATTAGGGCTGAATTCAAAAATCTAATAGAATATACATTGTAAGCATCAGAACTTAATTCCATATGGCTGTCAATACCCATTCTCTCTGTTCCTGCAAATAATTGCACTAAAGTAGAAGTGTAAATTTGAGCCGCTGGGCCCGACAACCTGAAGGGTAATTTCAGGCCGAACCAGCCTGGCCTTAAAAGAGAAAAGGTCAGCCTAACCCGGCCATAAGTCCAAAAAATTTAAGGCCAAACCAGGCCAACAGTAGCGGGTCTTAGACCGACACGTTTAACCCGACCCAAACTTCCAGCTACACACCAAAGAAATGACCTTTTGTCCTTTACATTCTCAAGAACATGATTTAACAAATAAATAGACAAGTGTCTTCAACCTGAAAAGCTCGTATAATATTGACAAAACCTAGGGAATGTGAGGACAATTTCCCAGTTATCTAAACTCTCATTTCACATTTGTTGAACAATACCAGTATATCACATCAATTGCTACAAGCATTATGCATGAACAAAATGTACAACACCCTCGAGGTATATATATGTGGTGGTCTACATGGCAAAAGGCCAAAGTTTGCCGCCATTCTCTTTTGTTTGAATTTCAATTCTGTTGCCGCGGCTCATTTGAACCGATGAAGTAGGTGTTTGGCTTTCACGTGCATAGACCAATGCAAGCAAAGAAATTTGTAGCATCCCAAAGTTCGCATCATCAAACAAGAAACTTGTCAGGCAGAAATAGATATCGGAAGCGTGAATCGAAATGAAGTATGCCACAGTTGCGTGAGCCAAGGAGACTTTGTCGCCTCTGCGATATACATTGTTCGGCAAATGCAGCTTGGTGGGGTGGAAGGTAATGGGATATCCACACAGCCAAATTTGAATCATCCACAAAGCTTTTGGCAAAGCAGTGAAGCATTTTTGGCACTAATAGTCTTCCTTTGCTGCTAATTCCAACTGAAGCGCGAATATAATCGCGTTGTGCTTCTTCCAGCTCTTCCCTTACATTCCCTACTGTGTAAATTCTTACCTGCATTTGAAATTCACAACCGCGTGAACATTTAGAACCACCATTCATGAAAGAGAACAGACAGGATAAAAAAAGTATTTTACAAAGTACAAAGAAACTGTTGGGATTACCGCTGGTGAAGAGTACATTCCACAGCTCAAAGCAAAAGCAACAAGTGGCTCATGGGTACCAATCGCAGATTTCCGTTGCTCCTCGGAGACCTTCAGCTTGTGAAGAGCAAGAAGCAAAGCCTGATTTTTATTTTTTATTTTTTTTAACCACAAATGTCAATCACAAGATGGAAATATATAGCAAGAGAATAAAGCAAAATACTAAATGGACCTAGATCGGAGAAAATCAGAGTCGTACAATTTGCGGTCTATGAAGAGGTGGTTTCATCTTCAAAATAACATACTCAATAGCAGCTGCACTGAAAGAATGTCCTCCAACGGTGTATGCGGCCTGGAGTACACAAAAAATGTCATCAATAAGTGATCACGGATACATGAACCTGGTTAGCAGAAGTTCATTCATCAAACACAACGAATTCTGCACGTCGCAATCATAAGTGACTTTAGAAAGAAGAATCCTATACTTGATTTGATGGTACTGTAAAATTCATGTTTAAGTGTTTTCAACAAGAGGGAAGTGATAAGTGAGGATATCCCACAACCTTTCCTATGGAAACAATTATAGTCCCAAGTTCAAAATGAATTTTGCCAACTAATCCTCAATTCTAATGTTTATGTAACACGTTAGACTATTATTGGCGTTTTTATGAAGACTGCGGAACTGATGCTGTTAAGGCAGACACTGATCTTAAACTTGTAAGTTGTATTATGGAGGTGAAAAGAGGATACTTTACTGCATCACGAGAAGTTGTGAGTTAACTGAAGTATGTATCTAAATCAGAGTACAGGCTTATTAAGCGTTTAGATCACGTTGGTGTCAGAAATGTCCTATCCTGTCCCAAAGAATCAATCTGATTTAGTGGACACATGTAAATTTTTCCACAACTAACACCAGACATACTAGTCGGTCACATTTCAAGAATGTGAACTAATCAGACCTTTAAAAAAATGCCAAGTGATAGAAATAATCAATAGAAATAATCAACTAAAGAGAAATGATCCGGCGATATCACACACGGTAATATATGCCCCAATGCAAACAAAAACTAAGAGAAAACGTAACGGCATGACCAACCTTCTGCATTAAAGAGAAAAGCTTCAAGTCACTTCTGGGGACTCCATAGGCTAAATATGCCTGTAAAACATCAGATGAAATGAATAGTTTAATTTATTTAAGCCATCTATCACTATAATCGGCATTCTAAGAACATGCTTTGTTGAGTCAACCGGTGCTTATTTTATCCTTATTTAGACTTCACAATCAACAAGATAGGATGAGCTTACATGCATTATCAATGCATTGTATAAGTTAATCCAGAAAGCGAGCCTCTCATTGCGGTTCAGGTGGATAGGATTTACTTTTGCAAGTTGCTCAACAAGTATTCTGTTATCCAAAAGAAAGCAAGAACTGTCATTTATCAGGTGATTCAAGTCTATAACCAGAAAACAATAACCATTTAAAAAGTATGTCAAAAGTTCCTGAAGATTTTCAACATAAATTTTCCTGAAGATTTTTAACATATATTCCCTCTTACATAAGTTGTCCATACCATGAGTGACTTATCACCTTTGGATAAGATCCTCCATTTATGGTTACATTTAAATGGTTTGAATTGAGTATAAAAGCCAGTTTCAGACTAAAACATTTCAGTATATTAATAAATCCGTTGATATACGTAAACTATCTAAAACATTAAAGTGGAATATCGGAATCCCATTTGCACGTCTCAAGCATGAGCAAACAGAAATGATCTACATGCAAAAATCAGGACCATCCGTGGTGCAATTTCTACTTGGTGCTAATAACACCTGAAAAAAGTTGTCCCATTTCACAGAAGAAAAAAAGTCTGACAAAAGGATGAAATGAAAAATTAACCTGAATTTCCTCAGTGCCCCTGCAGCGTATTCTAATTGCTTTTTCCCAACAGACATCCAAGAAACTTCAGTTGCTAACCCATAGTTTCCAATGTCGGCCCAACTTAATTTTCCACGAACTCTGTACGGATCACAGACATTCTCAAAGGCCAACACCTCAGAGTTACTCTGTATGTCAACCTGTGGGCTGTGCATCCATGACGAGATCATAGACCGCTCAGATGACCACCATGATGAACTCGAAAGGTGTCCGCGCGGTGACAAAGATGAGTAGCTGTTCTCTAGTGAGTCAGATTTAGATGTCATAGCAGAATCTGCCAAAGACATGAATATATTCTTCATACATCTAACCATCTCTTCTGAAAGTTGGTTAGGATTATCCCAGAGACCCTTTGGCGGCATCCCCTTAGGAAGCTTCCTCAACTCAGCTGGTCGGCAGGATTCAGAGTCCATCTTACTGGATGTTCTCATATCACAGCAAACCGTAGCTGAATCCTCTGCATTCTGACCACAAAACATATATACATGATAAATGTCAACTTTTGCTGACTATAAATTTCTAGAAAGGAAAAGCATACAAATCTCAGACACAAATTCGGACATTTATGTGATGATAAAAGAGAGGAAGGAGAAAAAGAAGCAGCAGTTGGACCACATGGAAAGATGTAATCTCCAAGAAACTAGAGAGAAGACGAAAGAGGGAAAAGAAATTCACTATTCAGTAGAAACAACATCAGTTAATCCTCTCTTTCTGTCCATTTTTAGTACCATATTAATATGAATCGGAAATTCTGGGTGGCTCTATGCCACCGCATACAAGTACTAGAAAGATACCTCAATTGCAGTTGGCATAGAGGATGATTCACCATTAAGCTCCAAGTCTTGATCATTCAACTCCTGGTATGAGCTATCTTCAAGACAAGGCTCTGGGTTCGAATGCATTGAACTTCTCGAAGAAGGTGAAATCTGAATGGCGTAAGAACATGTTACAATGGCTGCAAATAGGTTGACTTATACAAAATATAAGTTGACGTATACAAGATATCATTTTATGTCATAACTACAATCCAAATCCTGTATTATCCTTCTATACCCTAGGAAAACAGACTCATTTCATGTAAACCCTAAACATTAGCTGGTCATGTCTGTATTATCCGCCTATGCGTTTGTATAGCTAGTCCCAAGCCCGAATAAAAGAGGAGGGTTGCGGTAGGTTGACGGCCAGCGTTAAAATAAGCCACTCTCATAGATTTCACTCACATAGAATCTGTTGGGGCGTTCCCTACGTGCGACGCGCTATGCCGGGCCCTGGGTATAGTGTTAAATAGGCAAGGGGGGTCTTCGCACATTCATGGACGTGTGCGGGGGGAAAAGCGAGCCCATGCGCCATGTCGGGCCCCGGATATGGTGAAAAATATGCAAGGGGGGTCCTTGCATATTCATGGACGTGTGCAAGGGGTAGAGCTAACCCATGATAGGAAAATTCGTTTAGGTAGTTGGAATGTAGGTTCTTTAACTGGTAGATCTATGGAGTTAGTAAATGTTATGGTAAGAAGAAGAATTAACATTTTATGCTTACAGGAAATGAAGTGGATAGGAGAGAAAGCAAAGGAGATTGGAAATTTAGGAAAGAAGTTATGGTATACAGGTTGGGAAAGGAATCGCAATGGAGTTGGTATTCTAGTGAACAAAACTATAAAGGATGACGTAGTTGAGATTAAGCGAATAGGGGATAGAATTATTATGCTCAAATTGGTACTAGGAAATAAGTTCATCTATGTAATTAGTGCTTATGCTCCACAAATAGGATTGGATGCGGAAACTAAAGTCAAGTTCTGAGAAAACATGCATGACTTAGTGTGTCGTATAGGCAATGAGGATAGCATTTTCATTGGAGGAGATTTCAATGAGCATGTTGGTAAGAATAGGGAAAACTTTGAAAGGATCCACAGTGATTTTGGTTTTGGAGCTCGAAACGAAAAAGGAAAATCTATTTTGGAATTTGCGTTGGGACATGATTTTATCATAACAAACACATTTTTCAAGAAAAGAGATTCTCACTTGATAACTTTTAAGAATGGGAGGAACTTAAGCCAAATAGATTATTTTCTCACAAGGTTAGAGAACGTTCTCTATGTAAGAATTGTCAAGTAATTCCTGGAGAAGTACTAGCCACTCAACATAGGTCAGTGATCTTAGATGTGAGCATTAAGCTTTGCTATAGAATGACTAAGATAAACCACCTCCCACGAACTCGTTGGTGGCATTTGACAGGAATAAAGCAATTGGCCTTTAAAGAGGAGGCTACATGGTCATATATAGGTGATGCAAATACTATGTGAGATGTCATGGCCAGCTGCATTAGAAAAGTGGCAACGGAAGTACAGGAATCTAGAGGTAAAGGCCCCCCTGAGAAAGAAACCTGGTGGTGGAGTGAGGAAGTTCAAAAGGCTATTAGGACCAAGAGGGATTTATATAGAGATTTATCAAAGCGTAAGGATGTTGAAACTTTTAATAAGTACAAAGAAGCGAATAAAGAAACTAAGCGAGCAGTTGGTAAGGCTCGTTCTACTTACTTAGATGAGGTATATAAGAAACTTTGGACTAGAGAATGAGAGAATGATATATATAAACTAGCTAAGATAAGAGAAAGTGTCAGGACCTAAATCAAGTAAGGTGTGTTAAGGATGATGCGGATCAGGTTCTGACAAAAGATAAAGACATTAGGGAAAGGTGGAGGAGTTACTTTGAGAAGCTTTATAATGATGATCATGCGATAGAGTTTGAATTTCTTAAGTCACAAGGAGAACCTAATGTGATGTATACAAGAGGAATCAGAGTCTCGACAGTTAAAACTGCACTACGGAAGATGAAAAAGAGGAAGGTATGTGGGCCAGATGATATTCTAATAGAGGTTTGAATGGTGTTAGGAGATGCTGGAATTGTGTGGCTCACTAAGTTTTTCAATGAGATACTAAAAAAGAAGCATATGCTTGATGCACGGAGGAAAAGTATTCTTGTCCCCCATCTTCAAGAATAAAAGAGATGTGTTGAATTGTAACAATTATAGGGGTATAAAGTTAATAAATCACACTATGAAACTTTGGAAGAGGGTTATCGAAAGAAGATTAAGGGCCACAACTACCATCTCAGGTAACCAATTTGACTTCATGCCAGGCAGATCAACCACGGAAGCCATTTTTCTTCTTAGGATGCTAATGGAAAGGTACAGAGACGCCAAGACAGACCTACATATGGTCTTTATAGATTTAGAAAAGACATGTGATAGGGTGCCGAGAAAAATTTTATGTTGGGTGTTAGAAAAGAGAGGAGTGCATGTGAGGTATATTAAGGTAATTAAGGACATGTACGATGAGGTGGTCACAAGTGTGAGAACTGTTAGAGGCTACACGGCAGAGTTTCCCATTCGGATCGGCCTTTATCAAGGATCTGCTCTTAGTCTTTATCTTTTCACCATCGTGATGGATGAGCTGATAAGAGAAATCTAAGATAGAGTTCCTTGGTGTATGCTTTTTGCAGACGATATAGTTTTAGTTGATGAACATAGGGAATGAGTTAACCGTAAGTTAGAACTGTGGAGACAAACTTTCGAGACGAAGGGGTTTAAGTTAAGTAGGACGAAAACTGAATACATGCATTGTAGGTTTAGTAACTCAAATAATCAGAGTGATGGAATTTCTTTAGATGGTGTGGAGATTGGGGCTTCTAGGAAGTTTAGGTACCTTGGGTCTATAGTGAAGTACGAAGGGGATATAGAAGAGGATATTCAACATAGGATTAAGGCATGGTGGGTTAAGTGGAAGAATGCTACGGGAGTTTTATGTGATAGCAAGATGTCTATTAAGTTGAAAGGAAAGTTTTATAGGATTGTAATCCGCCCAGCTATGTTATATGGTAGTGAATGTTGGGCCATTAAAGTCCCAACTATGCCTATTTTATGTGATAGCAAGATGCCTGTTATATTCACTTTTATGTTATTTTCATTTTGTTCCTAGTAAGGGTAACGTTCTGCTGAAATTGACCTTTGCAGGTTAGGCGTAACCTGGACCAAGCAAAGACATTGCTTGAAGCCTTAATTAAGGTATCTGTACTTTATTCAAATTGGATCACACATTTATCTGTAGTCATATGATGGAGGAGAATTTTTATTCTTGCTTCAAATTCTCATTGCCAAGTTAGATAGGAACTGAACCTGGAGCCATGAACTCATGTAGATACAGTCATCCACACATAGATTTCATAGAACAGAAATTTTTAATTTCTTAGGTAGTGAATGTTGGGCCATTAAGAGACAACATATATCTAAGATGAGTGTGGCAGAAATGCGTATGTTAAGATGGATGAGTGGCCATACGAGAATTGATCGCATAAGGAATGAAGTTATTCGTAATAAAGTAGGTGTAGCATCAATGGAAAATAAGGTGCGCAAAGGCCGCTTGAGGTGGTACGGGCATGTCCAACGTAGACCGCTAGAAGCACCAATTCGTGCTTGGGAGGACATTCTTATACCTAATACTAGGAGAGGGAGGAGTAGACCAAGAATTACGTGGACCGAAGTCGTTAGGAAAGACATTCTAGATCTAGGCCTTCAGGAAAATTTAATTTCGAACAGAGTTGTGTAGAAAAGTGAAATTCATATAGTCGACCCTAATTAGTTGAGCTTAAGGCTTGTTGTTGTTGTTGTGTTGGTTATGATATGAAGCAGCCCTCGATTTCTTAACATGAAATTGTAATAGCAAAAACTTAGATACTTCGAACCAGCAAAGCAATAAACTATTTTTCAATTGAAGAACTAATAAACTACATGATACATAACCTCTGGAGTCAACCATCTGTTTCAGAATATCGTTTAGTATGTGCACAGAAACCATGATTATGAAAAATAACAGTGGCTATACCGATAAATTCATAAAGTCAATGCAGCGAGGAGATGTTGTCTGAGGAGATGGATGCCTTAGGCGATATTCCGCAAGCCTTCGTTCATTTCTTTCTTGACTAAGTTGAAAATGCAAAGATACCGTCTCTTGTTCAAGGTTTGAAACAGTAACCTCCAATTCTGCAATAGTGGACAAGAGTTCGTAGGCCTGCAAAAATCACAATGACGGAAAAAAAAAGATGATCCATTGCAATTCAATAAAATAAATAAATAATGCTTGATCGTAATCAAGTATACATATTATCCGCAAGATATTAGGAGAACGAAAGAAGTAGAATTTCCAGAATTCAGTTGCTGAGGAAGGAACAAATGCACATAAAACATTGAAACTGAAATAATACAGACTTGAATGGAAGAACATAGTTGACCACAACTAACTCTCAGACCAGCATTTTAGAAAAATTAACATTTGACATTTTATTAAGACATCTAGACGGGACTTGTTTCTGAGTCAGTAGCTTTAAAAGCTAGCATAGGAACACCAAATGCAACTTAAAATTCTGATAGCAATTAGATTGGCAGAAGGAACCTTGACTACAAACTAACCAGCAACTCAGATAACAAACAAAACACTTGGCAGATTAACATATCCAATCTGCCAGAGTCTAAGTGCTGAGTGGAAAGATGACAAGCAATACCACTAAATAACTTGCAAAATGCCTGAACTTTGAAAAGTTCAAGTTAAATGGGCTTATCTAAAAGATGTTTCTAAAGTTTAGTCACAGAAAGTATAACAGACATATGCAGGGATTCAAAATAAATAGTAGCGTGTTCTCCACTTGCTAGAAACCGAAAGTTGCATGGCCATTTAAGTATTCTCCTGGGACATTAATAGACAAGCCTTTTTACTAATCACATATAAAGTAACAAAGTATAAGAGGAGATAAAACAATTAAAAGAGTAACATACATAGTGAGGTAGGCGTGACGGACTCAAGATTTTAGTAGCATTTTTCTCTATAGTATTTTCCAGAACAGTGTGCAGCTCTATCTCTTCTCGCAGTTGCTGCTGTAACTTCCGTACCTATGTCAAAAGAAACCATCAGTAAGTACTAATTGTAACCGTACTCCGGTTAAGCTTATTATGTTTTACCAAACCACATAAGCAATCTGTAAACCAGATGCTAGGAATCAGATTAGAACTGAAAACGAACTGAAGCATATATAACTGTAATCTAATGATTGGTTTTGGTTGTGTGCAGCCAAATTTTTTAAAGATTACGTCTCATGTTCCCCGCTCAATTTATTATTAATATGAGAAAAAGAGCAAACTAGCCCGAAAGGCTTAAAGAAAACAGAAATAACAAAAATGAAACACTAGCAATCTATATTAGGCCAACTATTTCCACATCTTAAAACCCCTTTTCCACTTTGTGCCCAAGAGTGAAGCAACGATGAAATGAATTACCAGTTACAACCACAAATAAAGCCTCTGAAGAAACCTATATAATTTCCACCTTTTCAGTATGAAAAAGTTCCAAACTATCAAGCATATTCCAAAACAAACACCAGCAACATTTTAAACATCCCTGCCTTCTCGTTTATTGGCAAAGACCCTTTTAACCTTAAGACCGACCCTTTTAACCTTAAGACCCTATAATCCGCCATTACTATAGGCTAGACACGGAAATCTGTTAAGGCATTTTGGTGGAATATTGATACACTGTTTGCTACATTACGGAATATATTCATAGCCCACAGGGCGAAAACAGAAAAGTGATTTATGTTCGATTAAATGGCATACTATCACAAGCACTTTATGCATAGAGAATCCGTACCATCAACTTCTAGCCATTCACATAAAGGCCCAAAAAAGATGCAAAAGTAGATAGTAGAATTCGGAGATAATAGCAGCATAATAGCGATTCTAGTTCTAGGCAGGTGAAGCTTACATCCTGTTCAAGTTGGAATCTGTACGAGAAAGAATTGTTGGTTTTAATGTAAGATCCAAGCCCTGTGGTACCTCCTCCAATATTGCTCACCTAAAGATAAGAATAAAAAATAAATAAAAAAAAAAAAAAAAAAAAAAAAAAAAAAGAAAAAAAAAAAAAAAAAAAAAAAAAAAGCACTAATGCACCTTGCCAGAAGAAATCTAATTTTGAACAAAACAAGTAATAACAAGCAGTATCTTTATAAATAATTGATAGATAGAAAGAAGAAATGTTTTGCTTCACGAGAGTAAGCATTCCCTAGTCTAAATCTGGGTGACACACGTACTTCCATCACTAAATACTGAGGAAGATGATTTCTTCCATAAGCTTTTTGAAGAATAAACAAAATGATCTGATAAAGCTGTGTGTAGAACAATTAATGGACCATAGAGCAGAATACCAAATAGAAGGAGTGGAAGAGGAAGAAGAAGAAGAACATTAAGTGAATAATAGTATAATACCACAAAGGCGCAAACTATAAAAGAAAATGCCTTTGGTTTTTGCAATAAAATGTTCACGATCTTTCTCAATATTCACATAACCCAAGTTAATGGTTTCTTCATTAAAGAGATCTGCTCAGTAGTACCTACCTCTAAAGATGAGATATCACCGGCCGCATAGTCGATTTTCGAGCTACAAATCAGACCAGAATGAGAACATTTACAGAGGGAATCGTTTCTGTAAACATGCAACAAGAAGACAGAGAAAAAAAGGAAAGCATTAAAAGGGAAAGAAAAAGAAGGAAAACCCCAGAGCCTCATATATAAGCAGAAAATCCTCGAGTGGGAAAAATGAACCCTTACTGGTTCAAGGCATTTTGCAGAATTGGTGAGTCACACATCTTGTTATCATTGGGTTTGGCGTTTATCACATAAATCCTTACTGGAAGCAGAAGCTATCTATGTCCATGTACAAACAAGCATCATAAATCCTGCAAAATTCCCTCCAAGCATCAAGCATTCTTGCTCTTTTGGCGTTTAAAAAGAGTTGAAACTCACAAGAAGTTTTTGTTCTTTTGTCGCTAAACAATCTCAGCCTAATCTGAAAGACAGCATAATGAGATGCAGAAGAACTAGGAAAGGCACTGTGAGGCCTGTGAGTTTCATAATAAGGACAAACAAATTCATGAATGCACAGCTACCAGTCATTTTCAAACACAACCATCCAAAACTATCAACACAACTTTGTGTGAGCCCAGATTTCTGTTTCAAATTAAGATCCAATGCACTGACCAAAAATTAAAAAAACAAAAGTTACAAAAAAAAAATGGAAAATTGACTACTAACACATGCAGTAGTTCCATCATGCACTGCTAAAATGCATTTCACACTCCATAAAAATCAGAGCTGAGAAAAAGGCAATAAACTGTGATAGTTATGCATAACCATAATGATATGATAGTCTCCAAAAAGAAGAAAAAAATTATTATTTCTTTTTTTTTGAAAAAGGATTTTTTTTTCCACTGAAAAATAGTGCAAAAAAAAAGGGAAAAGAAACAAAAGGAAAAGTGGGCACCTCCCAAACCCATATGCAAGTCAATCAAAAGTAGTTTCCACTGAGTTAATAAGAGGCAATCCACAAACCTACCCTTCCAAAGTCCCCTAAAAAGTTCATTTGGAGAGAATAACTGGTTGCTTTTTTCCCTACCCTTTATTTTTATTTTTTATTTTTGGCAAAAGAGATGGCTGTGACATTTCACACCTCATAATCCAAGAGTGAAAGCTCTCAGTGTATTCAAAAGCCTAGTCAAAAAAAGGCAAAATATATTGGTAATGGGGTTTTGGTCTTGCTTTGCAAAAGAGAGAGGAACACAATAAATACGACATGATTAGGTGAATCACTCAAAGAAAACAAGATGTGAATACAATCCAAAGGATTGAGCTTTTGTGGTCCCCTATTTTTGCCCAAAAGACCCCCCACACTTCCCTTCAGGTTTTACTCAGATCAGTACCTGACCCTTGAAAATAATGGATCCCTCATACCTCTTTTCTTTTTTCTTTTTTTTTTCCTTGTGTCATCTCAAATAAAAGGGCAAAATAGAAAATACCCAGAATCAAACTTGACAAAGTAAAAAAGATTTTAAAGTACATATATACCTCTTTTTCATTAAAACTTAAAAGGGTTCCTTTTTTTGTTTAAAAAAAAAAAAAGAAGAAGAATAAGAAGAACAAAATGCATAATGGAAATGAAAAGGAATTTGGTGAGCAGAAAGTGGCAGAAGAAATTAACCTTAGAAGAGAGGAAGATTCAAAAAACTTGATTCAAAAGTAGTTCTCTTTTATCAACCAACAACTTCCAACTTTTGAAATTGGTATTGTCAGTGTCACATCATCTATTCTCTCTCTCTCTCTCTCTCTTCAAGTTCAAATTTTTTGATTCATTCCTTATTTATAGCAGCCGCAGCAGCAGAAGAAGAAGAAGAACAGAAGAAATGACAAATATGTTTGGGAGAATCTAGAGCTATACTTACCAAGCAACTAAACGACTACAATGTTTACCTATTTTTTTCTCTTTCTAGTCTTCTTTGACTAACAACACCCACACAATGACAATGCAATACATATTTATTATTATAATGAAAAACCAAAACCCACATGAATGAAATATATATATATATATACATATAAGAAGAAGAGGATAAAGAAAGCAGTTGTCTTTTTCCTTTTGTATCGTTGGTTTTTATTAGTTTGGGAATGCTTGGAGACACACACACAACTCCATGATTTCGGATTTGTGTTTGAAATTTGAAATTACGAGGAGAAAGAGAAGAAACCCAGATGCCGGAAAACCATGGTGACTTATTTTGTGTAATAATAATGTCTATGTTGATTTTTAAAAAGAAATAAAAAAAAATAATGTGTATATTTTTTGAAAGAAATGTGCATGTGCCGTGTTACATTGGGTATCTGAATTAAAATCTCTTCCTGTGTGCCTGGGAATGCGTGAACCATAACTATAACCTGGAGGGAATTTGAGAATTGAATAGTGGGTTGTTTGGTAAATTGGAAAGCGCAAACTTCTCGTATTTGGAGTTGGTTTTGTTTTTATTTTTCACGTTTTAAAAAAATAATAACAATAATAAGAGAGAAATAATATTTAAGAGACGTTTAGTTTATAGATTATAATCGTGAAATTATAATTATTTTTTATTTATGTGTATTTTTTATGAGAGAAAATACTGTAGTGAATCATGAACCATGATTCGAATCGGTGTACGAATTTCCCAACCAAACAACCCCTTAATACAATTAAAGATAAAAATAAAAAGGATAACGATTTTTTAGTTTAGTATAAAATAGAAGATAAATAAAAAATAATTTTTAGTCGTTTTTCATTTTTTATTTTCGCTTTCTCCTCTCTCGAGCACAGAGAGAGATATTAATGGATTTTTTATACTGAAAATAATCTTTTAATAAAATTACCAAACGCATTTTTAAAAATAATTTATGTCTAAAATTAAAAATATTTTCATTTCCATTTTCATATAAAAAATAAAATCATTTTAAAACGAGTTCCAAACATGCCCTCTATTTTTTGCTGTCTTTAAAAATAATGAGCTTAGCGTTCTCTCTTTTAAGAACACAAGTATTTTTTATTTATCATTCATTAAATGTGTATTAAATCTGGTTAAAAATTAAATTAAATTAAAAAATAATATAAAGTAAAGAACATGAGAGAAATTTCTCAAAAAGGAAACACTTTTTTTTTGTCTGTGCAGCTAAGAAAGAGTGAAACATTTGTAGGAGATGAAAATTCAGTTTAAACACGTGTCTGTTTGCAGTTCTCACTTCAATCCCTTTTCTTTAATTTTGATAAACAATAAACGGTAATGCCAAAGATATAGATACTATGGTATGGCATGCTACATATGTGATATTGATAGCACAATTTTGTTTAAACCGTTTATGGTCTCAGATAGTGTTTTTATAGAAATAAAAATAGACACAACCAATTGCATAGCAACAACTGATAATTACAAAAAGAATGAAAAAAAAAAAACTCCAAGCCACAATCGCCGCCCCTTTGTCTTCGTGGCTAACAACCTTGGTCGTAACAAGTCAAAATGAAATCACAATCTCGGTTGTGATATGAGGTGAGTAGAAACAAAATTGTCACCGTTGTCGCAACGGGATCACGACCTCATTCGTGATGGGTCGCGACGAAATTGCAACCCCCACCGCTACAGGTTGCAACTCTATTGCGAGGAGGTCCGACATGATGAAATCTCAACCTCCGTCACAAGGAGTTGCAATGGGTTGCAACTTATGGTGGGATGCCACCCAAATACAATGGTCATTGCGATGCAGAGTCGTCACACTAAGATCTGAGTCCTCACACTCCAGCTACCTTCCTCTGTTTTCACATATGTGGTTTTCTTTTCTTTTCTTTTTTAAGTTTTTAATAACTTTGGTGTGGATCGGCACATTAGACTAATGGTGAATTTATTTATTTTTGGTCATAGATGTATATCGAATGAACTAAAAAATGCATTATCTATAACACATTGGTGGTATGCAGTGTTCAAGCATTTTCCTTATCTTTTATATATAAACATTAACAAGACGAATTTTGGTAGCTTGTGCTTTGAAGTAACATTTTATATTGGTATTTTATTGTTTAGAAAATATTAAAATGTCTTGTGGCTTTCAAAAGCATCATTGTATAAAGCCTATGGTTACAGTAGGGGTGTAAGAATTGAACCCGAACCCGACAAACCCGTCCGACCCTACCCGAAAATGTTGGGTTTTTTTTTTTTTTTAAATTTTCGGATTATAATAGGCCCAACCCCCAATTTGCGGGTTGGGCCGCGGGGGGGAAACG